TGATTAACAAAGAACCTTCGGAAAATCAATAAAAGATAGTCTTTTATCAAATCATGACGTCGTTCCGCGCTCTGCCTGCGAGCATGCTCCACGCTCCGCCTTCTGACGCTGAACACTCCGTTTCATACTACTCGCTTATAACAAATATACAAAATTTTTAAGCGGGCCAATATCCCACATAGCACAAAAACATCCTTGGGATATCCCGAGGATGTTGCTCGCGGGATATGCGCACATCCTCAGGACATCCCGGAATATCCCGCGAACCTCCTAAACACCTCCTCCCGAGTGCTTAATGTCACATCCCGGGATATCCTCAGGACATCCTAACTAAGTCCCATTGACAGCGTGCGGGATGTTATTAGGATATGAACTCCTACTTACTACATCCTCAGGACATCCCGGGATATCCCACTAACCTCCTAAACACATCCCATTATATCCTAAAAACATCCTATCTATGTCCCATCGACAGCGTATGGGATGTTATTAGGATTTAAAGTCCTACTTACTACATCCTCAGGACATCCCATAATAACCCAGTTTCCTCCTAAACTCAACCTCCCTAGTGCTTAATGTCACATCCCAGTATATCCTTAGGACATCCTATCTAGGTCCCACCGACAGCGTATGGGATGTTATCAGGATTTGAAATACTAGTTACAATATCCCTTTAACCTCTTAAATACATACTCTCAACTGCTTAATGTTACATCCCAGTATATCCCCAGAAATCTTCTTTATATTCCAGTGAAAGTGTGTGAAGGTGTTGTGATAACCTGAAACTTGCTTATTTTCCACAGACAATCTCAGGTCCTCCATCTGTGGTTACTATAGAAAAATAAGAAATGTTAAGAATATTTATACAACTTATTTTCTAATTTGAATTTAAATTTATTTAATAATTTGTAAATATATCTAAAACTGAGCAAGAGACTTGAAATGAATTATTAATACAAAATATTATAAGAGAAAATTTTGCTTTAAAGTATTAAAAGTCTTTCGATCATTTTTAACCATTCAATAGCCCAAAACTGAATTCTTCGATATATTCATAATTAAAATTATTCTACAAATTCAGTTCTGACTTCAGTTAATTTATATTCAAAATTCAATAATAAAATTAAGCATTTAATAACCTTTAAGTAGTGGACCAGATGTGTGTAAATTTTGAAATTCTGAACTTAAGTCGGTTATGTTGATTGAATCATTATTCATGGCTACAATATGATTAAACAGTTCATTCATGAGTTCGTCTTGCTATTTGCTGTAATGGAGCGGAAGATTTTTCTAATCAATTTTTTAGTAGAAGATATATAGCTTTCAAATTTAAATGCACTGTAATTATCTAACGGCCCAAACATTTTTACATCTTCGCAAATATGCAGTAGGCCGTGAATATTATGAGCAATATACTGTTTTTCATAATAAAGCCCAAAATTTACTACGAAGAGTTTTAATAGAGACTGTGCGTATTCATCAATTGCCGTCTGATTCTGTATTTTGCATAAGAGTCTAATCGAAATATGAAGTAGTAAAAAAACGATCATGTAGCTTTTTGTTAAATTAAAAAAGAAAAAAAGAAAAATAAGTGGGCTAGTGTACAGTAAAAATTGACGGTATTCTGTAGCTTTCCAGTGTTTCAATTCTTTTTAGAGTTGGTTCCTTGGTTTTCTTTTGCAAATTCAATTGGTACAATAAGGGCTTTAAAAACTGGTCATTTAAAAAAAAAAAAAAATTAGTTCCAACATTTTTATGTGGTAATCGTGCTTGTAAGGTGCCTCCGCCTATCCTAATAGTAATCATTTTTTGTACTACTCCTAAGCACACAAGGGACATAAAGTCTAACGGAATATTTATTAGTCCTATATTTGGAATATTCCTTAAAATGGGATAATCGTTTTGGTAATCGTCATCAGTCAGTTCTTCTTGAGACATAAAGTTCATATTCCGAATCACAGTTTGAAATGGAACTTAAAGAATATTTTGCTAGCGCGAAAATTCGATACAGTCCTTTTTCATAATTAAATACTACTTCATCTTCTGACGAATCCGATAATATACGTTGACTTATTCTGCTGTAAATCCGTCTTTTAGATATCTGAGATAATTTTTTTTTTAGTTCTGATCATTTTTGTAGAATAAAGGAAACATTTAGAAACTTACTTTTCACACTCTGTCAATGTAACGCTTGCAAGCGTCAGCAAGTCAGTTCGTAACTGAAAGAGAATTTGGAACGACGGCTATTAACGTTTAGCAGAATAGCTGAATTCTGGAAATCAGAAAGTAAGTACATGTACTTTCCACTTTGTGGGGTTCTTCAAGGATATCACTATTACGGAGCAATTAAAACCGTTGGGGGCGTTTTGCGACTTTGTTGTGAAGGGGGAAGGGATGTTTCCCTTGTAGGGGGATACAAAAGAAGGGAAGGTCTGACACATAAATCTGCCACGTTAACAAAAGAGAAATCTTCTTGGGGCATCGGCTACAGAAAAAGTGCTCATAGGTGTTACATTCTGAGCGGAGCTCGGTTTCTCAAAAGCAAAGAAAATTTGAGAAGCAGTTTTACGACCAGTGATAATGATGATCAAAACTTTAAGATTTTCAACTTCAATTGTTATTTATAGTATAAAATAAAGTAATAAAACTGCTGAGTTTAAAGAACGCGTTTTAATTTAAAAAATTAAATCATTTTAATTTAAAGTTTGAACATCTATTTAATGCCGTTATCTAATTTTGAGTTTTTATAACAACATTTAACTTTGTGTTATATACCTTGAAGAAACATGTTTACTGCATTTTCTTCTGGATGTTACAAATAAATTAATAAAGCAGCAATAAGTATTGTTAAATTATGAAGGAGTCAATGTAGCATTGTCCGGCATAACGTATAAGACTGCAGAGCGCTGGATATATTTTTTCGCGCTTTGTTTAGCAGAAGGCCGATATTTGTATGGTTAAAGAGGTAGCAAAGTGAGGTTTGAGGAAAGTAAGAACTTAATGTTAGTTCTTCCCATTCTCAAACCTTATTTTCCTATTACAGAGAGGTAAAAAATAAGTTACTTCTTACCTCAGTCGCTTTGAAAAACTAATTCTCATTATTAAAGAACTTACCAGAAAATGAACGAAGAAACTGCAATGAATTTTTTAGCCCAATAAAATTATTCTTCTGTTTATAAATTCAAATTAAAGCAAGTTAAACCTCGTACAGACTAGTTTTTAACTGCGTCTGTAAACTAAAATTTCGTTTGTTAAAAAAAAAAAAAAAAAAAAATATTGTTACTTATTACTGCACAGCACTAAACATCATTCATTACTAATATAATAGTGTAACAGATCAAAAAGTATTTTTTTTTCTTTTGCAGTTTCAAAGTATAGTTATTTCTATGCTAAGAACTATCGATGAATTTAATAGAATACTTTTATAACTTGATATTTCTGATTAGTGCCTCAGAGACGGGTAAGTGATTATATTGACCGATTGCCGAACAGAAGGGCTCAAGTTCGAATGCCATATAAGGCATGGATGCACATCATGCCCATCTGTTCATAGGATAAATGTCTTCGTAAAAGATTTTCTGAGTTAACCTGTAACGTACATAATATTTGTGTTCAAAGATATTAGAAAAGTATCTAAAATAATGTTTACAAAATATATTATGTAGCAATTAGAATTCAATAGTAAACACACTTTCAATATGAAATTCAAAAACGAATGAAAACACGTGCCTATAACTTGTAAGAAAGTTCTCTGATCAATAGGCACTGTGAAACAACAACAAAAATTTGAAAATATTATTACTTAATATTTACAGCCAACATATACAAGACGAAATCCAGTGTAAGCATAACAATTAAATTTTCATATGCAGAATGGGTAATCCATAGAGTAAGATTTCGATTCTTATAACATGACTTGCGTGAGGTACAAGGTTACTTTAATATTTTCAGATATGAGAGCTTCCATAAAAAGTAAGTACTGAAGATATCTGAGAAACACATTCTCAGGAGATCTTCATATATCCCGGGACATTACGACTTGAACAGGACATCCTTAAGATGTTGATTTACGATGTCCTCAGGATATCTGAAAATCAACATCCTGAGGAGATCTTCATATATCCCGGGACATTGAGACTTGAATAGGATATCCTCAGGATGTTGACTTAAGAAGTCCTCAGGATATCTGAGAATCAACATCCTCAGGATATCCTAACTGCTTCCCAGGAGATTGCGACTTAAATAGGATATCCTGAGGATGTCTTGTGTTATGGGGGATGTAAATTGACGTATATCTTAGTAAATTTTGAATAAAAAATCTAGTGTTTTGAAGATGTGCCGATAAATACATCTATTCTAAGATGATTTAAAAATTTTATGGGTTATATTTCAAAATTCTTTTCGAAAATTTTATAAAAATTATTTAAAAATGCAAATTTTAAAAATAAAAATGGGCGAATTTTATTTGGAATGAACCTAAATTTCAAAATTAGAAAGGAAGAACCAAATGAGTTCGATAAAAAAAGAAAATAAATATATACCAAATTCAATTAACATTGAGGAGCTAAAGTTTCGAGAGCTAATTTTTTTAAAAACTGCACGCGCGATTTTTACAAAACTTGACCGTTTGGCATAATTTGACGCGTAGAATCGAAATATGGAAAAAAGTTGGCATGTCATTTCAGAAAACGTCCAATTTTGTGTCAAAATACCTATATTAGAACAATGTTATGTATATTTCTAATACATATCCTAAATCGCGCTTTCCAGGAATGAAAAATGCAATTTCAATTTCGTCAGTCGGCCCAGTAGAACGGGAAATATAGAACCGTCCCCCTTCCCCCCCCCGCAGTGTACATCAGAAACATTAAGGTTTCGCATTTTATCAACATTCTGTAGCTACTCTATATAAAAAGTAATCATTACATAAAAATATATACATAAGCATATATATATTTCATTTTATAAGAATTATTTTTGTAGATGCGCATAATACTCACTTGTCGACTATAATCGGCAGATTTTCTAAAATGTTCCAAACCACTCCATCGTCTTGATGACAGTCTATAGTGATTAAAAACTTAGGTTCCATTCTAGCAACAGTGTTTGATGCAAACTAAAATGCAAGGAAAAAAAATCATACAAGGAATTTTCTCTTCAAATTTTAATATATAATATTACTTATTTGCTTACTTTCTCTTAAATTTTACAGTTTTATTAAGGCAGGAATAAGGGATCACCTGGCGCTGCTAATAAATAAACTTATAAGTTTTAAGTTTCCTAACAAAATGCCAGTATATTCAAAACCGAATGCAAGTGCTGTTCCCTATAAAATACATATGTTACCCTCTAAGAGAATTGTGACGCACAAAGAAAACATTACCTAATTGTAACGAAATTTCGTATGCGCATACCTATCGATTCAAAATATCAGTGATTAACGTTTTTGAGATCAATGAATAAATAGCGGAAGCTATAAAGATTGGCAACTGAACATTCAGATGGGGTACAAAAAAGGAGAAATTCCAATTTTAGGCCATAATTTCCATTCTACTTTAATGTCGTCTGTTTCCTTCGACTGCACCAATAACTTGCAAATGGATTTATGTCCAGTAGGAACATATGTTACCAGTTAAGACAGAATTTGCAGTTGGTATAAAAGAAGCAGGTTGGTCGAATCAGAGGATCGCTCGACACATCATTTGGAGTGATACCGCCATTATACGATGTTGGCAGCAATTACTGAATCATGGTAGAGCCCAGCATCTAGAAGGGAACTTTCAGAAAACAAAGACAACAAAAGGTAAGGACAAAGTGGCCATCAGATCGACTTTCGAAGCATCAAATTTCTCATAATATATATAACAGAAATATCAATGGTCGAATGTACCCTTGTCAAGCGTCTCAGAGAACGGAGTCTGCTCTCATGACGCCCATTGCCCTGATTACTCCTCACCTTTGCACACTAACAAATGCATTTGAAATGATGCCGGGCTCGTTCAACCTGAAATCTCACTTACGGGAGTAGAATTGTCTTCCGCGACGAATCCCGATGAGCCGCAATAACAAGCAAAAACGTCCAGTACAGCAACTGATATCGTCACACAGCCCGATATCATGGAGTTACGACATTCAGAGCTTCTCCTTTCATACTTCCGTCCCGTTAGCTGTTATCATTGACACCCTCAAAGCACAGTGGTACATCAAGGATATCCTAGCTCCCATTCTGTTGCTGTACTATTCGAAGCACACCGGGATTATATTTAAACAGGATAATGCCCAGGATAATTCTTTTCTACTGACTCCATTTGAGCTTCTTTTGCCTGTTCAGAAAGCGTCTCCAAGCCTCCTAAGGTGTCACCGAACTAGCTCGACAACTGGAGAGTTTGGTGACAAGTTATTCATCAGTTTTTGAGTCAGGTATCAGCTTCAAAACTTGCATAAGGGACAGAGGTAGGCGAATACTTTTTTGATTTATTCACTATATATAGCTGTATTATCTGAATAAATCCTTAAATTAGTCTAGGCATTCCGATAAGCTCCACTCTACATGATTTGATACTTTTTCTTTAAGGAGCTAAGTCAAAGACTAGACTACACTTTAACATGGTGCATGATATGCTATTTTTTTTTCTTTTTACGAAATAGTAGAAGCTTATAAAAACCTTACACCAACAAACATGCAGAATATTTGGAGACTGATGATTAATCGCTTTCCGAAGTGTAATGATCTTAATCCCATTAGTTAAAAGTCACGTATTTTGAAACTTAAGTACACTGTATAACAAAGGGAAATATAATATTCTAACTAAGATATCGCGAAGACTTACATAAATAACATTTCTAAAAGCACTGGAAAGAGAAGGCGTTATATAATTAGAGATATTATATTACAAGAGCGTCGAATCATTTACCATACTGGTGCAAAGCTGCTCAGGCTGAAGACTCCAGTTTCAACTTCGAATTTATGTTACTTCTCCTGGAGTCTTTTATTAATATTATTTTACTACGTTATTTAAATATCACCATATTTCTTTTGAACATCAGGATAACTAGAGAACTCTGATAAACTAAGTGCAGCTATTCCTAAGCCTTTGACTGTTGAACGGGGACATTTATGTCCCGTTAAAATTTCAAAATTACTGCTGGGTTAAAAAGTACTTACAATCTTCTGAAAGTTGGGAATCATTTTCCAATAGTTGGAAAATTAAAGCCAAGCTATGCTCGTTATACACAAATGACCACAAAGGAAAGAACAAATAGGAGTTTCCCAAAGTATAATGCTAGGTTTTGCAAAGAATGCAAGGTCATGTACCATATGATGTAAACACGATTTCAGATAATAACGTTTTCTAGAATAATAGGTGTGCTTATAGACACTCGACTGCTACGTGTGGGACATATATATGCGACCATTAACTACGGTTGGGACATATGTGTCCCCGCCTTTGAAACCGTTTGTCAAAAAAATCCAAATTCTAAATGTACCTTATTTATGACATATTTTTGTTCACTTGGGTAGGAAATGTAGTAATTTTTATTTTTAATTCATAGTCAAAGGGTTAAGCAGAGCACGCACTGTTATTGGAAGATTTCATTATGAATTCAGTTCTATTTAGGAAACTCTCTTACAAAGAAGTACAGTCTTAATTAAGATTCAATAACACGCCGAATAAATACTAATTCAGAATTCAAACAACAAAAATCAACGTTATATTTTCAAAATTATTTCACAGGAGTAGTTTCGATGGTTTTACCGAACCACCATTCTCAGCACAACCGCAAATGAACAAGATAGGAAATAATGATTAGATAAGATAAGAAAGCCTGGACAAAAATAAGCAAATGGCGCCATCTGTTGGTGAAACCAGAACTAAAACATAAACATTTTTTCTGCTGCCAAAATTATTCAAAAAACATTCTTCCATTGGAGAACTGGATTTTCTAGACGCATTTCACATTCAAAAAATCTTTCTGTTCTCGTTAACGATCCTAATTCCAATCCATCTTTGCCTTCGGCCTTTAAAGAAATTATGTTTTAGTTCTGGTTTCACCAACAGATGGCGCCACTTGCTTATTTTTGTCCAGACTTTCTTATCTTATCTAATCATTATTTCCTATCTTGTTCATTTGCGGTTTTGCAGCTGAGGATGGTGGTTCGGTAAAACCATCGAAACTAGTCCTGTGAAAAAAATTTTGAAAATATAACGCTGATTTTTGTTGTTTGACTTCTGAATAAGTACAGTCTTCTTAACACCAAAGGTCAAAGAAAAGAGATCGTCTACAAAAGGTAGTAAATATTTACCAGTCTAGAATTTAAAATTGACGCCTAATTTATGAAGGAAATATTCACATGAACATGTTATACTTTTATATAATAATTATATTAAATCTCTGGTAATTCTTGAGTTATAATCCTGAAGAAGGATATCAAAACTTGATAAACAAATGATTTGCCAAAATAACTCTAATGTGACAAATACTGTACGAAGAGTATAACAGAACTTTTTGAACTTAGAATTGCTGCTTATCTCTTTGTCTGTTTCTATGCATGTGATAGGTTAGTTAATTAATTAGTGTTAAGACTTTCGTTTGAGGTAACTGAGCTAATATTAATTTCGCTATTGATATTTAGTGAAAACTTAGAGTATGTGCTTTTGCCAGTTTATTTATTGTTTTCATTATCGAATACTTTTCATCGATTTCTACATTTTAATTTTGCTGACTGTGCCTTAAACTCATTGCATTGAATATTACAATTAATATGATCGTCACTTCTTAGCTTTTACTTATTCTATGTATATATATATATATATATTTGTGTGCGTGTTTCTGAATAAAAGCTTAAAACGAAAAACGCAGATACTTGCAGTCATTGCCGGAAAATACTTTTAAGCCAACACAGTTAAACTGGCGCAAAAAACGAGCTTATTCTTGAACAACCTACTTCACTACCTTATAGAGTTTTAAATATATTGGAAGATACAACGAAGCAGGGAGTATTATTAAATAGGCAGTAGAGAAGCGAAAGAGAGAATGCGACGTGTTTAGGGTGAAATTCCCGTTTAGAATGATTTTGTCTAAGTTCAGACTTTCCCCATCGACTAATCTTAAGTTTTGGTTCAAAAATTTGAGACTGCTTTTGGGTGAAGCGTTGTGTAATTACCTGCATCATTAGCATTACGTAAAAATATATATGACAACGATTAACTTTGAAATGGTATTGAATTTATGAATGTATATGGTATATGTAAGAGTTTAACTCATGCCGCCCGGATGCCGTAACGATGGGCCCGGATTCGAATCCTGGATATGGCATGATTGTAATTATCCGTCTTTTCATAGAAGGGAATGGTGACCACCTATTAGGTGCTTCCATAATGAAATGACCACCACTTCCGGCCCTTGTAATGGCGTATATTGGCTATTAAATAAAATGCCCAGCCACTAAAATAAAGAAATATTTAATTTCTTTTATTTATAAAAGAAATTAAATATCTCTTTATTTATTATATATATTTATTATTTAACACGCACACAAATATATATATATATACATAGAACAAGCAAAAGCTAAGAAGTGACGATCATATTAATTGTAATATTCAATGCAATGATTTTAAGGCACAGTCAGCAAAATTAAAATGTAGAAATCGATGAAAAGTATTCGATAATGAAAACAATAAATAAACTGGCAAAAGCACATACTCTAAGTTTTCACTAAATATCAATTTAATTTCTTTTAGTTCAGGCGAAGGCGCTGCTCGTTTTTGACTTCTCGAGTATCAAAAAACCTAATGACTTAACAATTAAAGAGTTTACTATATTAAACTGGCAAATAGATAAAAGTAATTGTAAACGAATACCAAAAATTATCAGTCTACGAAAAGCAACGGAAACGTAGTCTTCAATTTTAATCCTTAGTTCTCTATTATAAATTAAAAAATGGATATTATATTAACGAAACTATTTTTCGAAGATACATAAATAAAAATTGCTCGTGACTGTGGAATACATGAAAGTTTAAAGGAACAGAGGACCGTTTTCAAAAGGAAAGCACTTAAATCCTATTATCGGCAATCAAAATTTTATTGAAATTTTAATTCGAATGACATTAACATAACTTACTCGTGCTCCACAGAAAGGATGAGGTCCTCCCCATATAGCACCAATGCTGGTTGTTGCCAACATGGCGTAGATTGCTTCTTTCCTATTTGACATATGACCTGCAAAGATATTTTGTGTATTTTCGCATCACTGACTTACAGGTAAATGCTTAAAAATATGTTTCTGGCTCTTGATTTTATTTAATTAGTTTGATAAAAATTTGCATATTTGCCTCATACTGAAAATTGTTGGGTTTTTTTTTTTTTTAATCATAAATGCGGAAAATCATACACTAAGCATTCAGCAAATTTCTTAACTGTTTCAATGTTAAGAGGCTGAATGCCTTTTGACATATATGTACACATGTGTTCCATTTTATTACTTTCGATATAATTTTATTACTTTCGGTAATTCCGGTTTATTACTTTCGGTACTTTTAGAAATTAAATTTTAACCTATTTCTTTAGTCCCTTCTTCTTTGAACTTTAAGAATTACTTTAGTTAGTTAACAAATGCTGTTTATTTGTGGTATTATGAACACATTTAGTGTACTAGAATATTTAACAATCATACTTCTTTTGCAGTTTAAAAAAATTGTTAACCAATTAATAAACAAGTCTTGAAATTAAAAAAGATACTAGCTTTCTTTCCTTTTCATTTCCCGTAATTCAATTGTGCCTGTATATGTACTAGTTCGACCGCCTTATCCGCGACCACGCATGTTTCATTCGGACTGAATTATTCTCTAAATAGGGTGAAAGAATCGAGACTTTCTTTTCTTCGAGCATCTAAATCCTCTCTTTCTAGCGAAGAGAAGACTTTCACGTCGCAGTAAGTAATAACGCCCGTTTTGGACGAGCCTATCTGTTTTAGCAGAATGCCAGCCAAGGTTGCGTTTGAGACGGTCGAACTATAGAATTAAAAATAATCGTTTTCAGAAGACGTTTGCGAAAAATGACGTTCTATCAAAACAAAAACTAAGACAGCAGTGAAAATAATGATACCGTAATAATTTGCATACATTTTTTAAAACATCAATTCAAAAGCAGAATTTTTTTTCCAAAGTAAATTACAATAATGTGGTTTTATATGAAACTAAAATTCGTAAATTGACTGAATACCAGAGCTTCAGGTTTGGTTTTGTAATTTGAATTAAATTAAATGACACTATATGAAAAGTCGAAAACATTGCATAAATCGAATAACTGCAGAAGAACATATGCGCTATTTACAATATCAATTGAATATTATCAACATTTGAGAATATTGTTATGTTTTTTGTATTTATTTAATTATTTTAGTAGAATTAATTAAAATTGTTTTATATCCCAGTGTAAATGCAGCACGTGTATTATCTGAAGGGAAAGCTACGCAGGAAAAGGAGCACGCGAATTTAACATTTAAATAAATAGATATCTCGTAATTGTAGTCTTTTGCTTTCCAGAAACCTCTAAAAAATACAGATTACCATTATTAAAAATTATCGTGCATTATTAAAAAGCTTTAAAATGACGGACAGAAACATCTCAGTTCAGTTGTTTACTTAGTTGTTGTTGTTGATTGTAGCAAATTCGGGGTGAGATCGGATTAACTTTACGTTTTGAATCGAGTTCTATTTATATTTCAGTAGTTTAAAATATAACTACTGTGAGATATTGCAATATTGTACGAACATCTATGAGGAAATTCCAAAATTTTGTTTAATTTCTTGGGATAAGAATACATTTTATTAACATTTTATCGACTTGTGCATTCAATCCATTAAGAACCTGTACGTATGCAATAATATTAACAACATCTTGGAACTCTGTGTTTTTGAAATGCTACATATCTTAAGAATTAAAAGAAGTATTCAAAGATTAGTTAAAAGAACCTAAAGATTTTAAGATTGTTGTCAAAGACAAGATTTCAAATCTAAACAATTGTAGATTTATTAGTTATTTTAACAACAGCTTGGACATTTTCAAGCATACTGTATTTCTAATATTCAACATTACTTTAATATTTTTCACAGACTTTCATAACCCTGTATATTTTATTTTCAATGCGAATTTTGAAGTAATACCGCAGATAAGTCTTCGATATATATAAACTTTTTCCTTATAATTTATTAATATTTTGGCTTATACTAAGATTTCTTATAGCAAAATAGTTGAGAGATCTGATGGGGAAGGGAGTCCCTTTAGTTTTCTAATGAAAATTGATATAAATGAGCCTAATTTTTCTATTTTATTACATTTTTCATTCATTTGTATTATTTGTTTTATTTTTAAGAGCTAAAATGGACCCTTGAACCCTCCTCCCCTTCCCTCTTCTTCCTTCTAGATACATCTGTGTCAAATTTTCAGCCAAACTGAAAAGGGTGTCTTTATTGATCCTCACATTAGAAAACTTCTCAAAGATGGTACTTTTGAGGGAAAAAATGAAAATTGCGGAAAACGAAGCCTTGCGGAGCCCTTTAAAGAAGCAATAACCAAGTTTCTTGGCAATAAAAAAGAATCCAAACTTAAATCAACCCTTGAGAACATGCCGCAAAAGTTCAAAAATGTAGGATGCTCCACGAGCTTGAAAGCTATTTCTCTCAATTCATATTTGCACTATTTTTCTGAAAATATAGGTGCCGTTAGCGGAGAGATGTTTGACAGATTTCGTAAAGACGCCAAAAAATGAAAAAAAAAAATATATCAAGGAAGATAGACTTCTTAGATGACGATTGGCTATTGCTAGATGTTACTCTGTTGTCAACTCCATCAAAAACATAAAAGGAAAAACAATGAAGAATCTTCTGGTAAGTTTTGGAATCATACACATTAGACCCTAGCTGAAAATACTAAGTAGTGAATTCTCGGTAGGTCGTGAAAGAAACCGATGACTGCAGAAGAAGGTTTTAAATAACGATTTTTACTTCAACTTAACACAAAATGCATTCGCTCGGTGCTCGCAATCTACCACCACTTGTAGCGAAGTAACAAGAACAGAAGTAAGCAACATAAAAATAAGACAAAAATCACAATAAAGTAATATTGATGCATGACTGGCTCCTTATTTATATAAACCGCTAAATAGGCTGCACACAGCGAAGCCGAACCTAGAATATCAATATAATCTAAATCGCGATGAGATCGAATTAGCTTTAATTTAGATTAAAGAGAGTGGCTAAGCACTATTCCAAGTACAAAACTACTTCACTCGGCATAAATTTGTAACTAACTCTCCTACTGCAAACTCAGACATGGGACATCGTTGGTGGTTCTTGACCAACGTAACTTCGTAGAGAAGCCAGAAAAAACCCGCTAGAAGTTTGGACCTCTAAGAGTTGACGTTGCGCTCTGAGGCCTTTGGCTGGAAATAGAATAAGCGCTTTTTCGCAACTTAGATTAGTATCTAAGTTAAACAAACAAGAAAATGTTATTTGCTATATGGAAAATGCAAAATATAGTTGAAACACAATAAACATATATGAAGTAGATTATATATCAAGAAATTGTATTCTTGCGATGAGAAGTATTAGAATTTCACACTTTGTTGATATATAAAAGTTTCTTGAAAGTTATTTGCAATTAAGTTTCTTGAAAGTTATTTGCAATTAAGTTTCTTGAAAATTATTTGCAAAGTATAATATATAAATGCGTTAATCCTAGAATACTAAAATGCGTTGAGAGTAATAATATGGGTTGAAGTAAGATACAAATAGAGTCCTATTATCAATTTGTCGGGAGCAAAGTCCTTTTCTTTGCAAGTTATATGAAAGTTGAATACATTATAAGGTATTTCTCCCGCCTTCTTAGCGTGTTTTCGTGGTGTGGTGGTCTGCACGCTGGGCGCGTATTCCAGGGGTTCGCAGCTCGATTCCCGGCGAGGGCGTTGCTCATTTTTCATGACTCCTGCTTCCAAAAAAAAAAAAAAAATGCCTAATGCCTCTACAACAAAATAAATGAAAATGTAAAATGATGTAGAGAATTCAAAATTCCTAAAGCTTTGCCAGTTGAATCACAGTCTTTAGTCTGATATCTGTTGCTTTGATGAAATTTAGTTACTATGAGCAGAAAGAAAAACGATGTTATTGCACTTTTGGCCTGCGTTGGCAAGTTTAATATGCAGGGTTATATAAGAGGACGCTTGAAAGGATGCACAGTTACATGATCATAGTTTGCGAGTTGTGCGATATGAATGATGCTCTGAATTTTGTACATGTCTGAAGAAGTTAAGCGTGGTCACCAATATATAATCTTGAGCATGAGAAATTTTTAAAGCTACTACGAACTCTTAAAACCGCTGCTTAAGTACTGATTTCAACTCACTTAGACTTGCATACATGCCATTAGAATTTACATTCTGGTAGAAAACTGAAATCAGAAGGGAAAGGAAAGTTTTATGAAACTAAAAATAATTGGTTAGAATAAAATAAGTCTTTACAGCGTGAAGCAGAGTATGAACGTGTGGGTGCACGGAAACTTCGACACGATAAATAAAACTGCGTGTTTTGCGTACATTGTTTTAGTATAAGCTAAAAAGAACAGAAAATTAAATCTAAGGAAAAAACGTTTTAAATATATTTTAAAGCCTCACATTTTAGCGATTTTTTCGACTTGTCACAAATTGCAAATGTTGCCATTTCCGAAAAACCCTCATATAATGAGAAAAAATTAACATCATTTTCGTGGGATTCAAAGCTGCAAATTACATAGGAATCAAGTCATTAACGAAAGCTAATAAACATGACACGACCCAAATTTTGCATTCTTCTGTATTTATTAAACTGTTATTCTGAAGTGAATGGAACTATTTCATATATTTATTACCAAGAATATAATCGAAAACTATGATAATTCATGACTGATATCTCGCCTTAAATCAATGTCATTATTATATACTTTTAAATGCATTACTCACAAGCCACTGTATCGCCTTTTTGTAAGCCATGTTTCCTGAAAGCAGCTGCGTACAGCTTAGTCTCTTCGAATACTTCAGCATAGGTGACAGTCTCTTCATAACCAGTCTCATCTGGAACATGGAAAGTGTATTACACTGAGTCTAAACAATAGTTTGGTCTTAATGTAAAATACAGTAATAGCACAAAAAACGAATCAAAGGTTAATACTACAATAATCGAATGTTAGTGCTTCGAAATGATAAGCCTAAAACTGATTTTTGATAGTTAATTGAATATGAATGAAATATCACTAAAATACCCTTTATGTCTCTGAATAAAATCCTCGATACGGAAAACTGAGAATAGCAGAAAAAGAAAGTAAAGTGTTAGATAAATTAATCAGCTACTTCGACTCACCTGATGTATGGAAATTAAACTAGCATATGAAATATATGCAAATGCATTACGTTTTGGTAACGTGAACTCAAGTGCGAATGCACCCATGGGGTCATGAGATGGACGTAAAACAGCCATACTGATGACAGAGCAATAAAAACTATGCTACACTGCAAAACTAAATGAAGCCTCAATCACACCCGCTGTTTTCTCCATAATAGTTGTTCTGGGAAGATAATGTGTGTAGATTATTGCATTTCATCTAAAGCGCCATCTCGCTCGAGGCCGTCGCGCAATATAATTTATTTATCACCATCCAGATAGAAAGTAGTTAGTGACTCTGGCAGCCGTATCGCAGGACCGGGGTTCGAATCCCGGAGAAGGCATTGATAAAATGTGTTCGCCTCTTGATAGGAGGCAACGGTGGCGCACCTATTAGGTGCCTCCTTAATAAGGAGACCATCGCTTCCGGCCTAGTAGTGGTCAACGCTATAAAGCGGCTACAGGCCGCCGTTGCGGGTGGGGATTCAATAATTCTTCATTGTCGAGTATATCTTCAATTTCCAGATGATTCTCCTGCTTAGAGGGCGAATGGAATGAGTATTAACTTCCTTTTTAGATCCCGTAATGCAACATTTAATGCCCTCATTAAGAATTTTCTAATGGTTGAATTGTGCTCCTGGAAATTGACGTTATTGCTATTCCTGGGAATTGGCGTCAAAGTCTTAGGCATTATATCTTAGTATTCTGGCGTTTATACTTTATCTAACACTTAATTTAGGTTCCAGTTCGGAAAGGTTTTCAAAGCAAGTTAATATTCTGAACAACTTCTTAATTGACTTTGTCAGGTGTGAGAATGTCATCTGGTAATTTGTATAAAATGTTTAAAAAAATATTGCCGCCCAACCGGGATAGGGGTTAGTGATTCTCATTGCCGTACCAAAGGGCCAGGGTTTGAATCCCGGAGAAGGGATGGATGTTTATAAATGTATAGTTTTTTGTTGATATGGGGGCACTCTAAATATGCGGCCAGTCCTCTTGAAAGATTGGTGGTAGGGAAAGAAAGGTGAGAGATCCTCGGACCCGTAGCCCCCCGGGGTGCTCTTTTTCAAACTTGGTGGCGGAACTAATGTCGGAATGTAACCTATATGGTGCGCGAGGCTCTTGTCAACGCTCCATCGCATTTGACTCCTCGCCAAGTTGAATGTCGTGAGCTTGTGCTGACTATTGTCAGGCAACTGAGACTGGTAACAACAACAAAAAAGTATTTAAAGCATGAATTTAATTTCCAATTTTCTAATCTACACGTGCGCTTTCGCCAAACTGTGAATTAGATTTCTGTGTGAGTTACTTTTTATGGAAATTAATGAAAAAGAAAAATGATTTTTATTGCAATAAACAGCATACTAAAGACATCATTATGACATAAATTACCGAGATATATGAGAGCAAGTCTGTCATCTCTTATCCGTAAAAGGTTTTCAGCAATATTAAATTCTGCTCCTCTGAACCAATCGTAATCGAGGAACCCATCACCAGTTTTCACTACAGCCTATGATGAAAGATAAATTTTAATACCTTGAAGAGAAATAGACCCATATTAATAGCAAGCTCAATTTCAAAAAAATAATACATTTGTCTTACAATAAGTAAAATTTATGAATTGTTTTAATCTTCATAGTACTAAAAGCATGCGATAAAAATGAAATTATACAAAATGACATTGGAATTTGTCAAAATTGGATTTGTTAAAGATAACCATCTGTGATTTCAGGCCCTAGCTAATTTTTTGCGCCATAGGGTATGAACTAATAAATTCTTTGGCCTGTGTCAAGGACTGAAATCATCGAACAGAGAATAAAATATTTATCTCAAAATTTAGTATCGAATGGCAGTGATTGAAACTTGTATTAATCAGGTGTTTTGACATTTTAACTCAAATTTATAAAAAAAAAAAAAATATTTATTGCTTATTTTTGATAACGGTAAAATATTCCCACAAACTGTGGTGCAAATAATTATTTCGCAATTCGTTCGACTTTGAATGCTTCATCAATATTCAGAACGATCATATTTGATATAATTTCTAATGTTTTGATGATATAGAGATAATGACTTAAAGTTTAAGCACCCTGGAATTACTCATTTCCATAATCGATGATAATTGAAAGATTGTTAACTTACGTATATAAAAATTCTAAAAGGAACATAAGGTAGTATAATACTTTTTTCAGTACTTATTATATTAGATTAGTTGTAAAGTTTTATTAAACTATTGAAAATAATAATTTAAAAAAGAAAAGAGAAATAAATAAAAAATATTAAAAGAAATAAAGAAAAAAAAATCTGAAAGGTTTCAGATTTTAAATTACGTTCAAAGGGGCTTTTATTTAACATTTTGTGTGCACCATTATTTATGAAATATCATGTTGTTCTTAGCACTTAAACCATAAAATTCAGTTCAAGAGCAATATCGCAAAATAATTTTAAATTTAGGATACCTTTACAATTTTCGACAGATACACAGTCTCACGCGCTGGAGATAAAAATGTTTTTTTCTGTACAACGTTGCCATTGCTCGCTTTGAAATCCTTAAGTTTGTTAATCAAAAATTCGTTAAATTGCTAATAAAACAAATTTCAAATATGGCCTTCCAGATGCCCATATTCGCAGTAGGACTACGTCATTCAAAATTGGGTAGGTACCGGCTCTAGGTACCGTTGTTTTATCAGAATGCAAGAAACATACATACATTTATGCAGATTCTTCATTATTTACTTTCTTCAAATATATATATATCTGGTGGCAACAGTTTGAAAGGTGAAACGGACATCCAGAGTGATTTGAAGCAAAATCGCAAAACGAAAACAATAGTCCCTCAGGGACAAAGTCCATTTTAACTAAAAAATACTCTTTTATTGTGAAAGTAAATCATTCAATAAATTTAGACAATTAATCTTAAGAAAAGGATGTCAGTTTAAGCAATTTCTAGTATGTACCTTCTGGAAATGAGGTTTGATGCAGATTTCCTCAGGATCTACTAAATGCATTCTATATTTTTACCTCCTTGTACGAAGTTACGGAAGTAGTGATCTCTGCGAGGTGCTTGCTGTACTGCCTCGAATTTCATGGCGTACACTAGAGCGCTTTTTAAGTCCTTGACATCCGCCATTCGTTCAACCTTCTGTGTTTTCGAATCCCGAATGCCATCGATGAAATATCTGCAGGGAGAGTATTTCCCTTGTTTCACTCGGGCACTCCGTAAAGGCGAGGCGAGACAGCCTTTCAACATCCATGGCGAGCTCCTGGAGTATTTCGGTGGGCTTCTGTTGACGGGATTTTAATTGAAGCCTACTGTAGTCTTTGAAACATTTCTACCCAAACCTCAGCTCCAATGTGCCGGATAGAGCTTCAAAATGTAACCTTTGGTTTTCTGGGAGCGTTTGAAGGATATCTGCTGCGTCTGCTCTCAGAGAGGCGGCGAGATGACAGGCCTTAGCTTGGGAGTCCCATCCGTTCGCTTCCACTGCTATTGAAAATGGTGTCTTATAAGCTTGCCAAGAGGTCTTTCCATCATACGTAGATAGCTCAATAAGGGACTAGAAGGCATGGGTAAAAATTAAAAACCATCAAAATTGCTCCCTGCTGTCGCTACGAATTTCTTTAAAGTAGCAACTTCTTTGGCAACTGCAGCAGAAATCCTGTCATCAGTTTGCTGTTGGACGGTAGAAACTCTCATTTCATTCGTTACTCCGGAGCAGCAACTTTTTTCTTTTTATTATTTTACAGAGTAAACTCTTTCTTCTCTTTGTTCTCTTACAGAAGAAACTCTTTCTTTAATGTGTCCAACTTTATTCTCAACAGATTCAATTCTGCCTTTCATAGTCTCAAATATATTTTTTTATTTCACAGGTTATCTCTTTTATATTTTCTTTTGACCTACTTTAATTTATTCCTTAACAGCTTTCATCTCTGCTTTAACAGATACCTGAACAAACCTCAACAATATTCATCTCTTCTTTAAAAGTTACTTGCCAGCTTTCGTCTTCCCTTAAACGGAATTTTTGCCGGCTTTCATCTCTACTTTAACGGAATCTTCACATTCTTTCATTCTTTCTTAATATTCTTTAACGGATTCTTGGTCAGTTTTTATCTCTTTTTCAACAGACTTCGCGGCCCTTTCCATCTTTTCTTGGAATACAGCAAATTCAGTCATCAACTGTCTGAATTGTTCTTCCATCACTCTTGTAATTGTCATTCAATACCCCACTTCTGACACCAAAAAGTGTTGCGTGCGTACGGGTTCGTAATAAATTGAATGCACAAGTCCAATGAAAAGTGAATAAAACTTATTCTTATTGCAACAAATAAATCAAAATGCTGAAATTTCCTAAGAGATATTTGTACAATATCTCAATATCACACAGTACTTATATTTTTTAACTACAAAAACGTTCAATAGAACTCAATTCAAAACACCGAAAAAGTTAATCCGATCTCACCGCGAATTCGCTACCGTCAATAACAGCACTAAGTAAACAACTGAATTGAGATCTTTTGATCCGGCCTTCTGTAAGCTTCTAAATCCTGTACGAGAACATTCTTGTATTTTCTCGATTTTTACCGAATAGCAAAAGAGTACAATTACGAGATATCTATTTATTAAAATCTTAAATGCTCGTGCTTCTGTATTTTCATTTCTCCGCAATAGCTTCCTCTTCAAATAAGTCTCGTGCTGCATTGCACAAGAATGTAAAACAATTTTAATTACAAATTCTACTAAAAATAGCTAACCAAATACAAAATCTGTAACAATATTTGTATATACATATGTAGTGCCAGTGTTGAATACTAGATGGCGTACAGGTTGCTCATCGTACATTTCTTTTAATGTTTTTTTTTTTTTTTTTTTTGATTTGTCGGTTGGCAACTAGATGAGTTGAACTCAAGATTAAAAAAAAAGATGACAATAAAGACGTTGTAGGGTTTATATTTATTTTAACTAACATTTATTTTAAGTTTAAACTATCTTTCCTGTCAAGCCTTACTTTCCCCTGGAACTGCCAATGCCAGAGTATGTAAATTTTAGTAGAACGCGCAAGGATTCAAATTATCAGCGGAAGTATTCTGAGTTAAATAGAAAGGAAACGAGTTCGAAGGTGTGCTTTTCTTACTTCACGAGCGCGGAGGTAGTGAGTTAGAAATTGAAGAACCGCGCGTTTCGGCCTGTGTGCTTGCCTCTGCAAAATTGTTAATCTTTCAACGTAATCTTCAGAGTTTGCTGAATTATCAGCGGTATTTTAGAACGCGGTGAGGTTAGTTACGTTTAGAGAGCCTCGTAGTTAATGACTTGTTAGTATTTCTTTTCAGTGTCTTATTTTTATTTTACCGCCGGGTCGGCGTAGTTTGTGAGCGTCAAGAGCACGCATTTGTGATTTGTAAAGTTGAATAAAAAGGGACTTAAACCCTTCGCAAGACTCTGTCTAAATTCCAGTTTCAGCAGTCACCACTTTGTTGCGTGCAGGTTGGAGGCACACAACTCTACTTTGGCGCCCGAACACTTGTCGAACTGAAATGGCCGAAAATCGGATGGAAGCCGCGGGACAACAACCAAGAAATGGCAAGCCAATTGGAAGGATTTGGATACCTGGTCCAGACGTTTGAGAGCGTCAATCAAGCCAAACGTCAATTTCGACGGAAAAAATTCGGTGGCGATATTTCTAGAAGGCCTAGACAATCACTTTCCAGCTCTACCCTGTGCCTGAAAGACAAAAAGTTGCCATCGCCACATCTGCACTAAGAGGACAGGCCGCGCTATGGTGGAAGAATATAGGCAAATTTTTATTAGGGGAATTTGGAGGCCAGACATATACATTTGAAAATTTCAAAAAATCGTTATTAAAGGCCTTCCCCATAGTGAAAGATCGAGCAAGGCTAGGAAGCCGAACTATATAGTTTCTATCAACGGGATATAGAAGAATTAACGGACTTTATTCTGCGAAAAATTAAGCTGACGGATATGCTGTATGGGAAGAAACCCGACGCGGAGATTATTGAAATAATCTTACCAAGATTGTTACCTGCTGTTCAAGACTACTTCGAAATTAGAAACCCAAGCACATTGCAGGAGCTCTTCGAATTGGCGGTCAAGTTTCAAAATCGCAGAATAGCGGAAAAAAAGCTAGAGGGGCATCGTATTCTCAAAGTACCCGAAGGCAATCTTCAAATGAGCAGACCAGAAATGCAAACCGCTCTTATGGGGAAAAGAACTATCAAGCTAACTCATCGAACCTCGAAGGTCAGGGCCCAAAAGGAAATTCGAAAACAAATATCCGCGTACCCAGAAGGCAGAAGTTGAAAGGAAAGCTTTAAACGAGTAGAGGGGCCTGTGAAAGCGAGGGTCCAGACCCCGGAAGTTTTAAAAAAACCCTCAAAAAGACACTTAAATACGGTCATCGTAAAAAACTCACATCTACCAATTATACAAGTCCTGGTTGGCGATGTACCAGTAGAAGCCCTCATCGATACAGGAGCAGAAGGTAATTTTATGAGTGAGACATTTTTCAAAAAGAATTTTTATAGGTTACGATTATTTAAAAACAAAAACACAGAAATTATAGCGGCGCAAGGAAAAACCCGTCACTGCATTGGGAAATTATCATTAAACATACAGGTAAAAGAGGAAAGCCTCAAAGTATTAATTTTTGTAGTGAAGAATCTGCAAAATCCTCTTATTTTAGGTATGGAGTTTTTAAGGGCCGCGAGGGCCAAATTGAATTTTCAAGACAGTTCTATCGTGCTGGAGATGGACCAGAGGGTGGTGGAACCTGTGGAACAACCGCAAGTTGACCTTAGCCATTTAAATGACCATGAAAATCAAGCCATCCAGCAAGTGGTGAGTAATTTTTCAAACTTGTTTTCAGAAAGGCCTGGTAGCTGTCAAATAGTTACGCATGAGATACAGTTAACTGCCGAAAAACCTTGTAGGACTAAACCGTATCGTTATGATAAACAAAAAGACCTAATCATCGAAGAACATATTCAGGAGATGTTAAAGAATAAAATAATAACGCCCATAAATAGTGAGTACGCGAGTCCAGTCGTACTATGTAGGAAAAAGAACGAGTTTCCTCCTTCGGATAAAAGGGCTTGGAGGTTTGCTATCGATTACAGAAAACTAAATAGTATTACTAAATTCCCAGTTTACCCTTTGCCGGTTATAGAGGAAATTATTAGAAAGATCAAATCTACAAGATATATGTCTACTTTGGACTTAACGTCTGGCTACTATCAAATAGCTATGAGACCCGAAGACATACATAAAACCGCGTTTATAACAAAATCGGGCACTTATGCATTTTTACGCATGCCCTTTGGGTTGTGTGGGGCCCCATCAACATTCCAGAGAGCTATGGACATTGTTCTAAAGCCTGTCCTAGGAAAATCAACTTTAATCTATCTAGATGATATAATTATAACGAGTAGTACGTTGGAACAACATATTAAAGATCTAGAAGAAGTTTTTAAATTATTAAAAGAGGCCGGTCTTACAATTAACGTCTCAAAATGCAAGTTCGCAACTAAAAAACTTAAATATCTGGGGTATAAAATTTCGCAAAAGGGTATAGAAACGCAAGATTCAAAAATAAAAGCAATCAAGAATTTCCCACCGCCCAACACCGCCAACAAACTTTCTTCTTTCCTTGGGTTATGTTCTTACTATCGGTCATTCATAAAAGATTTCGCTAATATTGTTGAACCACTGTTAGTAATCAAAAAAAGAAAGTAAATTTACGTGGACAGCGGAAGCAAATACCGCATTTGAAAGATTAAAAGAAGCGCTCATCAATGCCCCTGTTTTGAAATTCCCGGAGGGGGACGAAAACCTGGAAATTGCAGCAGATGCGTCGGACTATGCGGTGGGTGCGGTTCTTATGCAAAATAGCCATCCTCTGGCATTTTTTAGTAAAACGTTGAATCAAACACAAAGGAATTATACAGCTACAGAGAGAGAAACATTAGCCGTATTAATGGCTGTACACAAATTTCGAGTTTATTTCGGCAAAGCGCCAGTAACAGTCTTTTCGGATCATGCGGCTGTTGGTAGACTTTACTCGGGGAAAAACCTAACGCCCAGGTTAATAAGATGGGCTTTAAAACTCCAAGAATATAATCTAATAATAAAATATAAACCGGGTAAGGAAAACAATGTAGCTGACGCACTTTCTCGTATAAAACTGGACGATGAAGGAAATGAACTTAAATGCGCTGTGTTGACTTCAAAAATTTTAGATTCTAGAGATACAATTATCGCTGAACTGAAAGCTGATCCTGAATTTGGAAATATCTATGCATATTTGAAAGACCTCGAAAGCTTGGAGCACACAGATATCGATGCGATAAGAAATAGAGCAAAAAACTCTGAAAGAATAGATAATTTATTATTTTATACGAAAACAACAAACGAAAATCTCGAGTACAAACCAGTCATCCCAGCCTCACTTTGATTAAGCATTTTGAAGGAATTACACGACGCGAAACAGCGGGTCATTTAGGGTCAGAAAGACTTTAAAAAGGGTACGCGAGGCGGTATATTTCCCGCAATTATAGAAAATAGTAACTGCGTATGTCAGGTCCTGCAATCAATGTCAGTTAATAAATGATATTAATTACAGCCCGGCCGGGTACTTAAATAGCATTCGCGCTACATTTCCGAATTAAATTTTAGGCATAGATCTTCTTGGTTAGAATACCCCAGAGCGAGTTAAATAAAAATCGTTTTCTTTTAGTAATTGTAGATCACTTTTCAAAATGGACAGAAATTCTTCCACTTAAAGGCGCGTCAGCCAAAACAGTCGCAGACGCATTCTTACACAGATACATTTTAAAATACGCTGCACCGATAAAAGTCATTAGCGATAACGGTAAACAATTCATTAGTCAAATATTTGAAAACATATGCACTGGACTTAGCATACGCCATATCAAAATGGTTCCTGTGCTAGCAAGCCGGCATCTACCATCAGACGATATCGCTTCAAGAATTGTCATCGTATCGTCCAAGCCTTTGGTGGCAGTTGTTGGACCGGTTTTTTTCCTCTTCTGCTGCTGGCGTTCGGGGGTGTAGGACGGGCTTCGGTCTGTCCTCTCCCTGGCCAATATGATGTGCCATTTTCCTGCTTCGCTTTGCTGTTCCTTCGATGCTATCTGCCATAGATGAAAATCCTTTTAGTGAGATTTTTACATGAAGATTCAAGAAAATAATTACTCCTGTTTCCTGTACATTGCTGCAGAAGATAAATTTTGTTCGGCTTCTTCCTCCTTTTGAGAAATCTTCGCAGCACGTGTTTGTGAAACCTGAAACTTCCTGATCTAAAGAAGAAAATGCAGAAATACCAGGATTGATCAAGTATGCTTAATGACTGCCATCAAATTTTGATTGTTCCTTTTACACCAAGACTTTGTTTCGAGTGGATCAAGAAAGATTGACTTTATTCTCAGTGCAACGTTAATTCTGGTGATGCGCATCACTCGTGCTTGATGTTCAAATTTATTCGCCTTTGTTTATATTAATACTTAATTCAATATCAAAGATGAAGAATAAAATATAATTGATTTGGTAACATACAGTTGTCATACTTTGGGGTAAGTACTTTATTTTGCTGTCCTCTGTGGGTCACATATTTTATCCCTGTCATTCGGGTTATTGCGGAAACAACGTGATGTACTCTTAATCATTGTTGTAATTTCATCGCTGATAATTACTTACTAAAAAAATTAAAAAATATAAATATTTTCACTACTTATAGCTTTCCTCAATTAATATTTTCACCACATATGGTGCCATAATTATTTTTTACCACAGATACTAATATATTTTTACTACATATGGTGCCGTGACAAAAGAAATAACTTAAAATCATTTAGTTCAGGTTGAGAATTCAAATAAAATGTGTGACCTATAGTATATTTGCTACACATATGATTTATATTGTTGAAAATTTATGATAAATGATAGGTAATATGCCATGAAAGAGTAATTCTATTTTGGATAATTCAAAAATTCAATTTCATATGTATTGTTATATATATGTGCATATTTAAAGAAAGTTTTAAGATATTTGAATCAAAAGCTGATTTCAGTAATTTCATTGGATTGTGGTATGTAATGATAAAATAATGTTCAGCAGTATTAGAATCCAGAAGTGTTAATGATCAGTGTACTTATATTGCATCACTAATTTGATATATGCATGGTTGAAGTTACAGGAGATCCTAATTAATTACTAAAATAAAAAAAATATAAAAAAAAATTACCTTAACTTTACTATCTACTCTTATATGCATGTTTGATAAATGTATATGTAAATTATCAGAGAGAGTGCTAAGTGTTTGTGTAAAATAATGTAGATCTCAATAACATTAAAATAGAAATAGCAGATTGTAAGGTAATGCAACATAAGTAACTATATTTCTTCATCTATGTCAAAACTTAAAGGTAGATCTAACATTGGTATGGCAACTTCTCTAGCTTCTGCTCTGCCCACATTTAGTGGCAACTTATCTGAAAATGTAAATTTCTTTCTTGATCAGATAAATAGTGTTGCTAAATTAGAAAAATGGTCAGATGAAAAGAAAATAATCATTCTGAAAATAAACTGTAGGGATAAAGCTCTAGATTTCCTAATTAATGATCCAAGAGTGGCTAAGGAAAATAAATTTGAAAATTTAGAAAAATTATTAAAGAATAAATTTGCACGAGTTGAATCCTTTCAGGACATTCTACAGCAATTCTCAAACATTTCTCAAAAGTGTAACCAATCTGTTAGGGAATTAGCTGACAAGATTACTACAACAGCGACAAAATACATAAATGAATATTCGGTTGAGGATTCTAGTTTACATAAATTAAAAGAGAAAATGAAGCTCACTAAATTTCTTGAGGCCCTCAGAACAGACATTAGGATTGAAGTTAAGAAATTGGGTCCATCTTCCTTTGATAAGGCTGTAGAATTGGCAAGTAATATAGAAAATGCATTGAATGATGAGAAAACATATTTGAACAGTATAAATGTTGAGCAAAATTTAGAGATTAATAATCTTCTCAAAGAACGACTTGAACAGAATAAGATTATTCAGGAGCTAACAGATAAAGTAAATCAACTTTCTCAAAAGAAGCCTATAAACACATCTTATACAAGAATAAATCACAATGCTTCTACATCTCAAAATTCTAGCAACCTTAATAGTGTATCTTGTCATATATGTAGCAAAAGACACTTAACAACAGATTGTTGGTATTTTCCTAGGCAAGACCAGCATAATTTTAGAAACAACACATTCAGGGGACACAGACAATTTCGAAACACTTGGCGGAGGAACTATCATCCTTACAGAAATAATAGTCAATACAAAAAAGGTCAGAATAAGCATTTAAAACTAGCTAAGGATTCTTGCCAGATATATTACAACAAAAAGTTTAGACCCCCTTGCAAGAATCCGCAGAGACTGGGGTTATAAAGAACACCTGTATACACATCATAATCCAAGAAAGATCCAAGTAACAGCAATAATGTCCAACACAAGTTTGCAAAAAATAAAAGATGTAATAATAGAAACTCAATCAAATTGTTGATGTCTTGTAACTCAGAAAATTCTAATTATCTGCCAATAATCAAACTTAAAATTGGGTTCTCAGACTTATGAAGCTCTTCTTGATACTGGTGCTAATTTATCTTTAGTCCAAACCAGATGTTATTGAGGAAATTAAACAATTCACTAAAGTTGAATTTGTTTCTCGGATGGTAAGAATAAAAACTATTGAAGATTCATGCATCCCTTACATGTCTGCAGTTAATTTAAAATTCAAAATTCAAAGTAAATGGTTCACTAATTTATTTTATGTCACCCAAAACAATTGGAATTCTACTTATCAGATAATCCTAGGGTATGACTTCATTCAAAGTAACAAAATTTTGTTAGATTCCATAAATAAGAAACTCATAGTAGATAATACTCATTTGGACTTTGAAGAAAATTATCCCAATAAAAAATTAAGCCACTCAGTTAATGTAAGAAGAAAAAATTGTAATTTAAACTCATTAAGAATGGTTTCTAATATAATAATAGTCCAGCCAGGTCAATCTCAAATCATTTCTTTAGCTGTTCCTGAAGCTCTAAAACAATTCAAAGAAATTTTGCTTTCTCCAAAGCCATCAAAAAATAAATTCCATATCAATGAATCTTTACATATAGTTGATTGTCACAACCACATTCAAACTATTGTTGAAAACAACACCAATGAGAAATTAATTCTTAGGAAGAATTCTGTTATTGGAACTGCTGTGCCATTTCACTTTGAGGATATTGTTAGTCCCAAAAATCATGAGACTTTACAAATCAACACACTAAATCTGCAAGAAGTAATTAAACTTAGAAAAAAGGAATTAAATGTATCAGACTTTAAACTAGATCATTTAAATGAACAAGCAAAAAATGAAATGATAGAATTGCTAATGAATAACTATGCTGTGTTTTCAAAATCATATAATACTTTAGGATCTACTGATAAAGTTGTACCAGAATTTAAACTTCTTCACAATTTCCCAATTCAAACTAGACCTTCCCTATTCCTAAAATTGCAAAACAGTATGCTCAACAAGAAATTGCAAAATTATTAGAAGCAGGCATAATAGAACCCTCTTCTTCAAGTTATAGTTTTCCTGTAATATTTGTTAGGAAAAAGAATTTACCTGGTGAAGATAAAAATGCACCAAATTTCGTATGGTTGTAGATTATCGTCTATTAAACTGTATCACAGAATCATACAAAATTTGTTTACCAAAAATTTCTGAGATTTTACATAACATTGCTGGTAGGAAATTGTATTGTGTACTGGATTTGAAATCAGCCTTTTTCCAGAACAATTTGCAGGCCTCTGATAAAGAAAAGTTGGCATTTTGCACCGAGCTGGGTAATTTTCATCCTTGTAGACTTCCCTTTGGAGCTCGCAATAGCACTTCTTATTTCCATACATTAATTTCAAAATGTTTGAACGACATTAAAGGTAGTAATGTTCAATTTTTTCTGGACGACATTATTATTGCAGCTGATAGTATAAGTGAGTTAAAAGTAATTCTTCAAAAAGTGTTTGACAGATTAAAATCATTTAATTTAACACTAGATCCAGCTAAAGTGCAGCTCTGTAAATCTGAAATAACTTATTTGGGTTTCAATATTTCACAAGCAGGTTTTTCTCCTTCTGAAGAAAATATTTCAAAGGTTACAAGATTTCCTATTCCAAAGGATGTAAAACAAGTTTCAGGCTTTTCTTGGCATGATGAACTATTTTAGACATTTAATCCATAATTTTGCTGAGATCACTCAGCCAATAGTACACTTAACTAAAAGAAATGTTCCCTTTGTTTGGAATCAAGATTGCCAAGATGCTTTTGATAAATTACAATCAATAATGTTGGACAAACCAACTATAAGGGACATGATGATAATCATGAGATATTTTTGATCACTGATGCATCTAAAATAGCTATGTGTGGTATTCTGTTACAAAAGATTGATGATAATTCTTTCTGTAGAATATCGACTTCTCTTGCTGAATCTAGATAATCGATCGGCGTGAGCTTGCTATTTTTCTTCCTTATGATATGGCAAAATATTTATTTACATGCACAATGCCACCTCACTCTCGTATTTCGCTTCGATCCTGGAATAATATCGGCAGTTTTCTAGGAAGGGTTTTCTAGACAAAGTGACGGCGATTCGATGTGATGATCCATTCCAGTGACGAATATTTATGCCATAAACTTGCACTCTCCACATGCGCACGGCTACTTGCCACCTGGCTCTCGTATTTCGCTTCGATTCTGGAATAATATCGGCAGTTTTCTAGGCAGGGTTTTCTATACAAAGTGACGGCGATTCCATGTGATGATCCATTCCGGTGACGGATATTTATGCCATACTTTTGGACTCTCCACATGCACACAGACACTTTCCACCTGGCTATTAGATTCGAGATACTTGAAATTTAAGAACCAGGTCAACAATGCATGGTCTGTCCCGGAGCAGGAATTTTCAGCCGCAGAGATAACGATGGAAATATTCTACGGCTTTAATTATGGCGAGCAAATCGTTCCCATTGACACGGCAATTCCTCTCCTGCTTAGACCAGCATTTATTCCAGTATTGTATGATATTTTCTTGACCGTTTATTTCTTGGAAAAAATAGCTCCGATTCTGTCGTTCCTCACATCTGTGTGAAGGTTAAATGATTTGTCGAGATGATGATGCGGCAGGATTGTCAGATATAATGCTTCCTTTAGTTTGTCAAATACATCCTCACTTACATTTATAGAAGAATTTTTGCTTGCTCTCTGTTAGTTTCTAAAAGCTGCTTGCGATGGAAGAAAACTCCTTCACAAATCTCCTATAATATGTGCATAGCCACAAGAAACGTCTCTGCTATCGAATTCCAGGCGTCTTCAATCTTTAACTGCTGACACGTTTTCTGGATCCATACTCTTATCTTTGGCAGAGACGGTATGTCAAAGGTAAGTCATTGCCTATCTGAATAGTGTACATTTGTCGGAACGTAACATTAGATCTTTTGTGGATCATTTGGATGTATACCTACTTTCCAATACGCACTCTTTACGCCAAATAAATGTGACCAAAGCAATCAAAACGCAACGATAATTTGCACTTAAAGGGAAAAAATCGCCAGCAGCTGCGGACCTACGGCATACATGTGATTCGAAATTCTAATCTTCTGCTTGATAATGTGTTTACCAATTCGTTTCGCCTCCCCAATTTCAAAGATCGAAGTGCTCGCAAAACGCAGCCTGCGGTGAAATTTTCCAACTTTCATGTTCCCCAGAAAACACCATACTAATTCTTCCTAAAATGGGACAACGCCCTCGAGGGAAAAGTTCCCGCGAAATAATTAGAGGTGTTAAATTATCTCGTCTTTAATGCGGGAAATTTGGTTATTTTAGCTTTAAGCATTTGTCTTGTCACTACCAAACAATTAAAAAGACAACCTTCCTATAACAATTTTCGGTTTCCCTTAATCTTGCGGTCTTAGTCCACATTATTATATAGAACTTTGAAAGGAGTAATAAATCATTTATAAATTAAATGTGTAGTACAATGAAAATCTTAAGACACAACACTTGACTCTAACGTACTGAAACAGTGATAAATTGCTTTAAATTCAATGTTGAACTATGGAATATTCTCTTCTTACAGCTATGATGCGACAGCATGGTAAAAAGTGAATTTTTTCCAGTTCCTTGCTGTGCGGGGGAAGATGACCTTCGCTCTGCGCC